CAATACGTGGGCGCGCTGCACCGAACGAGAGATCCGCCACCGTGCCTTGAGCACGCAGTCGGTTGCTCCAAGGCTCATGCAGTTGTGACTGTGTGCTGGATGATTGTGGTGTTCTTCGTGGCCCAAGTGCCCAAAGCGCCAGACGTTCTCTGGTGTGGCGCACGAGCCGAAGTTGGACCCGAGACTGTGGGGAGCAGCAGCAGTGGCCGCGGAGAATGCGAGGGGGGCTAGCGCCTGCGCAGGAACTTGCCCAACGACGACCCCACGACCCCCCAACATGTCTCCTGGAGATCCCATGAAAAAAATACCGAGAATCATGGCACGATGCGATTTGTTCAGGATGCGTTCCAGGATTTCCCGAGAATCCAGCTGCCCTCGTTTATTGCAGCCACTGAGGGACATTAGGTAATTTAGACAAGACTGGAGGTCCGGAAAATCTTTGAGCGAATCGTCATCATGGCCCTTCGCGCCACTGACAACAACCCGAAAGGCACGGTGGCGAGATAGGCCGGAGTCCACGGGATCCGCCGCCCCCTGTCGATTCATCGCAAGGGGGCCTGGCGTTCTGGATCCTTTCGGTTTTGGTTTTGGTTTTGGTTCTTTTTCCAAAAGAACTCCCCCTGGGGCTTCGGCCCGTCCCGCCGGGGTCCCGGGAGGATCTTCCAGGAGCTCAATTCCCCCCAAAATCCTCCGAGACGGCTCAAGATGGCCTCCAAGATGGCCACGTTGGCCCAAGATGGCCTCCAAGATGGTCCAAGATAGCCTGCAAGTCCGCCCAGGATGATCCAAGACGGCCTCCAAGACGGCCCCAGAGAGTCCAAGATACCTCCAAGGTAGCCCGAGAAGCCTCCAAGACGGCCCAAGACGACCCAAGAGGCCTCGAACAGGTCCTCCAGGAGAGCCCGAAGAGGCCAAAATCATTCGTTTCCATTGGTTTTTGAAGGATTTGGGCAGTTGTTTCTTCTCGGCATTCCGACGGCTCAAGACGGTCTAAGAGGCCCCCAATATCGCCCCAAGATCGCCCACGAGGCCTCCAAGATGACCCCATGACGGCCCAAGAGGCCCCCAAGACGGCCTCAAGAGGGCCACAAGACAGGCCAAGAGCCCTCAAAGACGCCCAAGATGGCCTCTGAGACGGCCCTGGAGCACCCCAAGAAGGTCTCAAATCGGCCCAGAGAGGCCCCCCAAACGGCTTCCGACGGCGTCAGACGGGCCAGGAGCCCACAAAGATGGCCGAAGCTGGCTCTATGCTAGCCCAAGACGGCCCAAGAGGCCTCCAAGAGGGCCTCCAGGAAGGCCAGAAGAAACCAAAAACATTGATTTTTCGAAGGATCTTGACATTTGCTTCTTTTCGGCCTTCTGACGGCCCGAGACGGCCCCAGAGCTCCCAAAGATCGCCCCAAGATCGCCCAAGAGGCCTCCAAGATGGCCCCAGAACGGCCCAAGAGGCCCCCAAGGCGGCCCCAAGAGGCCCCCAAGACGACCCACGAGGCCTTTAAGACGCCGAAGATGGCCTCCAAGACGGCCCTGGAGCATTCCAAAAGGGCCCCAAGTCGGCCCAGAGAGGCCCCCCAAACGGCTTCCGACGGCATCAGGCGGGCCAGGAGCCCACCAAGGCGGCCCAAGATGGCCCTAAGATGGCCCAAGACGGCCCAAGAGGCCTCCAAGAGGGCCTCCAGGAATGCCCCCAAAGGCCAAACTCATTACTTTCCCATGAGTTGTTGAAGGATTGTTGGCATTTGCTGTTTTCTGCCTTCCGACGGCCCCCCAAACTCGCCCAAGAGGTCTCCAGTATGGCCCCATGACTGCCCAAGAGGCCCCCAAGACGGCCCCAGGAGGCCCCAAGACGCTCAAGATGGCCTCCAAGACGGCCCTGGAGCACCCCAAGAAAGCCCCAAGTCGGCCCAATCGTGTTCCCCGAAGGCTTTCCACCGATTCGGGGAACACATGGTCCGATAGCTTGGCAGGCCTCTGGCCACAACGTTCGGCCACATCGGCGCTTCCAAAACGGCAGGGGGCGGCGGTGATTCGCCGTAGGCGTCTTCGATACTAGTCGTCCTGCGGGACCTTCTGCGAGCATGTCCACATAGCTCTGATCCTCGAATACCAGCACCTTGGGCTTCTCGTCCTTGGAGTCAGGCCGTGTGGCGGCACAAGAGTCCGTGCATGCCAGCAACGCCGCGAGCAGTCCCTGCAACAGGGGACTGGTAGTCATGGCTGGCATCCAGACGAACGGCGTGTAGCCCCCCTTTCGACGGCCAACCTTCTGAACGCTACGGCGTTGGTGATGCTTACTGCGTTGCGCACGTGCGAAAAAGACCAGAATCCTGACGACGACGCATGGGACACACTCTTCGCTGGGACTCGCAGCTCCTGCGGTGCCCTGTGGGCCCCCAGGGGGCAATTGTGGGACACGGGACTTATGGGGGGCACCTGCCGGCCAGCCGGTTCTTTCTTCGACGCGCATGCCGTCGGTACTTCAGGCCCCGGTCGGATCGGGGAGAGGTAATGAACGGGCGAAGAACGGTATAACAAATAAACTATTTCGCTGTCGGGGGCGCCTGTCCCAGGGCGGCTGGACAGTTTATACCCTTACGGTGCCACCGTAGGGGTATAAACTTTCCAGCCGCTCAGGGACAGGGGCCCCCGACAGCGAAACAATTTATTTTTTATACCGTTTTTCGCTCGCTGATTTCAGGCCCTGGTCGGATCGGGGAGTGGTAAGACCCGGGGTCTCGGTGGACTCGGGTTGGCCCCACGGGGCCATCATGCAAATGACAAGACCTAACCTGAAACTCGACGCGAGCTCCCGCTGCAGACGTCCTGCGAAAACTGGGCCGTCAAAAAGTCCAGGACGCACTCGGCAAAACACGCCGGCGAACTCGAGGTCCGGCGCACTCTAATGTGGAGGCCAGGGGGAGGAGGAGGAGGAGGAGGAGGAGGAGGAGGAGGAGGAGGAGGAGGAGGAGGAGGAGGAGGAGGAGGAGGAGGAGGAGGAGGAGGAGGAGAGGAGGAGGAGGAGGAGGAGGAGGAGGAGGAAGAGGAGGAGGAGAGGGAGGAGGAAAAGGAGGAGGCCCGCAATCCCCTGTCCTCCGAATGTGACCCCCCCCGCGGAGCTCTTGCGCCGAACCCTGCGCTTGCTCGCCCTGCGCGCCTGGCCCCCCTCCCCCGGACGCGGGCCGACCCGCAGTAGCATTCATGGGCCACGGCCACCTACTTTGCGGTCGCAGACTGTGGTGCCAGACGCACTGGGGGGTGGGGGGGGGGCGCTACGGTAATTATGGGAGGGGGAATGGGGGGGGAAAGGGGGGACACAACGCGCGTGATGGCCCAGAGGGTATCAAAAACACTCTTCCGAGGAGACACAACGCAGACACCCAAACTCGTCGGCCCTCGATCTTCCTCCCCCTCCTCCTCTGGCTACAGGCGAAGTTTGGACGAAAAATAAAGCAGAGAAAACAAAAAACCAAACCATGCAAAAAATACTCAGCATTCCGTCCCCGGACTATTTTTAATGCTATTTTTACCTAACAGCGAAGACTGATAGGTTTCTAGTGGAATCAAATGAGAGAGCATCTTGACTCCCCAGGGGGGTCTGGGCGGATGCCGGGAGAATCCGGGGACTCCTCAGGACTCTTATAGATTCTTATAGTTTCCGATGGATTCCTACAGATTCTGTTCCCAGAACGCCATTCCCAGGCCACATTTTTAATGCCCGGAACCAACTGTAAGCCACTTCGTGTTCTTCGTCTTCCCAGAACACCATTCCCAGGCCACATTTGAATGTCCGGAGCCAACTGTAGGTCACTTCGTGTTCTTCGTGCTTTCAGAACACCATTCCCAGGCCACATTTTGAATGCCCGGAGCCAATTGTAGGCCACTTCGTGATCTTCGTATTCCCAGAACACCATTCTTGTACCATATTTTGATTGCCCGAAGCCCACTGTGGGCCACTTCGTGATCTTCGTGTTCCCAGAACACCAGTCCTGTGCCATATTTTGAATGCCCGAGCTGAGGCAGGCTGAGGCCGAGGCAGGCTGAGGCCGAGGCAGGCTGAGGCTGAGGCTGAGACACGCCGAGGCAGGCTGAGGCTGAGGCTGAGGCTGAGGCTGAGGCTGATGCAGGCTGAGGCTGAGGCCGACGCAGGCTGAGGCCGAGGCAGGCTGAGGCTGAGGCTGAGGCAGGCTGAGGCTGAGGCAGGCTGAGACTGAGGCTGAGGCAGGCTGAGGCTGAGGCTGAGGCTGATGCAGGCTGAGGCTGAGAGGCTGAGGCTGAGGCTGAGGCAGGCTGAGGCTGAGGCTGAGGCTGAGGCTTGAGGCAGGCTGAGGCTGAGGCTGAGCTGAGGCAGGCTGAGGCTGAGGCTGAGAGGCTGAGCTGAGGCTGAGGCTGAGGCTGAGCTGAGGCAGGCTGAGGCTGAGGCTGAGGCAAGCCGAGGCAGGCTGAGGCTGAGGCTGAGGCTGATGCTGAGGCAAGGCTGAGGCTGAGGCTCAGGCAGGCTGAGGCTGAGGCTGAGGCTGAGGCTGAGGCCGAGGCAGGCTCAGACTGACAGGCTGAGCTGAGGCTGAGACTGAGGCTGAGGCTGAGCTGATGAGGCCGAGGCAGGCCGAGGCTGAGACAAGGGAGCTGATGGGGGGGGGAAGGGGGGGGGGGGGGGGGGGAGGAGGATGGGAGGCTGAGGCAGGCTGAGGCCAATGCAGGCTGAGGCCGAGGCAGGCCGAAGCTGAGGCTGATGCAAGCCGAGGCAGGCTGAGGCTGAGAGGCTGAGGCTGAGGCTGAGGCAGGCTGAGGCTGAGGCTGAGGTAGAGGCTGACGCAGGCTGAGGCCGAGTCAGGCTGAGGGCTGAGGCTGAGGCAGGCTGAGGCTGAGGCTGAGGCTGAGACTGAGGCTGAAGGCAGGCTGAGGCTGAGGCTGATGCAGGCTGAGGCTGAGGCTGAGGCTGAGAGGGCTGAGGCTGGCAGCTGCTGAGGCTGAGGCTGAGGCTGAGGAGGCTGAGGCTGAGGCTCAGGCAGGCTGAGGCTGAGGCAGGCTGAGGCTGAGGCTGAGGCAGGCTGAGGCTGAGGCTGAGGCTGAGGCTGAGGCTGAGGCTGAGGCTGAGGCTGAGGCAGCCGAGGCAGGCTGAGGCTGAGGCTGAGGCTGATGCTAAGGCTGAGGCTGAGGCACGCTGAGGCTGAGGCTGAGGCTGAGGCTGAGGCAGGCTGAGGCTGAGGCCGAGGCAGGCTCAGGCCTGAGGCTGAGGCAGGCTGAGGCTGAGAGGCTGAGACAGGCTGAGGCTGAGACTGAGGCTGAGGCCGAGGCAGGCCGAAGCTGAGACAAGGTGAGGCTGAATGGGGAGGGGGGGAAGGGGGGGGGAGGGAGGGGGGGGGAGGAGGGGAGGCTGAGGCAGGCTGAGGCCGAGGCAGCTGAGGCCGAGGCAGGCTGAGGCTGAGGCTGAGGCAAGCCGAGGCAGGCTGAGGCTGAGGCTGAGGCTGAGGCTGAGGCAGGCTGAGGCTGAGGCAGGTTGAGGCTGAGGCTGAGGCAGGCTGAGGCCGAGGCAGGCTGAGGCTGAGGCTGAGGCAGGCTGAGGCTGAGGCCGAGGCAGGCTCAGGCTGATGCTGAGGCAAGACGAGGCAGGCTGAGGCTGAGGCTGGAATTGAGGAAGGCTGAGGCATCCGTAGGAATCCTTAGGAATCCTTAGGAATCCTTAGGAATCCCCAGGAATCCATAGGCATCTTTTGGAATCCTTAGGCATAGTTAAGCATCCTCAGGAATCCTTAGGATTCCCTAGGAATCCTTAGGAATCCCCAGGAACCCCTAGGAATCAGGATTCCTAATGATTCCTAAGGTTTCCTAGGGATTCCTGTGGATTCCAAAGGATGCCCAAGGATGCCTTAGGAATCCCTAGGAATCCTTAGGATTCCATTGGATCCTAAGGCCGTTGCCACTGTGACTGTCATTGCGAATGCGACTGCGACTGCGAGAACAGCAGAATTCTACAACTGGATTCTCACCTGAATCTTAAGGGGAATGCTTCCAGATGTGCTTATACACATCGCTGTTAGGTTGTTTTGCCAGGATAATTGAATAATCCTCCTGTAAAAGGACATGCCGGACTTCCACCCCCCGGTGCGCGACGACCTGCTGCGCCCCCGCGCCGCCCCCGTGGAGGAAAGAGGCGACCTCGCTCTGGTCCAGGCCGCAACGAGTGAAGCGCGAGCAGCTTCGCACCCCCCCACGTGGGGTCCTCATGCGAACCTGACGTGATGCAAAGACACCCACGTGGACCATATCGAAGAAGGACCCTCTCCCGCCTGGCCCATCTCGGCTCAGAATCGGTCCCCAGACCCCTCCTCCTCCTCCTCCTCCTCCTCCTCCTCCTCCTCCTCCTCCTCCTCCTCCTCCTCCTCCTGCGACCACCAAGCAAGTCTGTCTCTCGCTCTACCTACAAGCCACACCCCTGACCTCCGCCACGAGCGCGGCGAACCGGTAGGGCACCGCGACGAACCGGTAGTCCTCCTTCGCCTCCTGGCCCAGCGCCCAGCTCGCTAGCCGGCCAGCTCGGCCGCCAGCGCGGCGCGGGCCGCGAGCTCCCGCTCCTGGCCGAGGGAGCTGCGCAGCTGACGCGCCGTGGCGCGGTGCAGTGCGCAGCTGAGCTCGGCGCCCCAGCGGCGCGCCAGCGCGCTCGCGGCCGCTTCAGCCTCGGGGCCGTCGCCGAGGCCCTGCGCGCGGTCCCGCGCCAGCCAGCGCAGGTGGCGCAGCGCCGCTCTGCCCAGCCTCCCGGCCGTCTCGTGGGCCAGCGGGAGCAGCGGCCAAGGGGCGCGCCGCTCTGGGTAGCGGCGGCGTTTGTCCGCTTCCCCCTCTGCGGCCACTGCGCCGTCGGCGCCTGCGGCCGCCGCCAGGGCGCGCGCGTCCCCCGGGACGCTGTAACGGACGGTCACGTCCGCCAGCATCCGCGGGCAGTCGCCGCGCTGCGCCTCGAGGTCCAGGAGCGCCTCCTCGCGCTCGGTCGCGAGCGCCGCGCCGCAGGCGCTGCAGGGGCCGCTCGGCGGGGCGTCCGCGAAGCCGCGCGCGGCGCAGCCAAGCGCCGTGCAGCGCCAGCGCCAGCGGTCCCAAGCGGGCGCGGGGACTTGCCGGGCCGTGCGGAAACCGCACTCCTGGTGAATGCGGTCCCACACGTCCTCGACATCCCGGCTGCGCGCCTTGGTGCCGCCCCCGCAGGCGCAGCGGAAGGCGTGCCGCGCCTTGCGGCAGAGCGGCTGGCCGCAAGCCTGCCCCGCTCGCTCTCCGGTGCGCAGGCGGTTGCAGCAGCTGGCCCCAGCAGGCGCGCAGTCCTGGCCCAGCAGCGCCCGGGCCGTGGCGCAGTAGTCTGGGTCCTCTAGCCGCTGGCCAGGCCCTCCGTTCGCCAGCTGCCAGGCGCCCGCGTGGGGCCCCCCGCAGGAGCGGAGCAACGCCCGTCCCTCGGCGTCCAGGGAGCTCAGCAAGGCTGCGTAGTTTTTTGAGTCCAGCCTGTGCGTGAGTCTCCTC